GGACACAACATCTTTGTTGGTATGTGGTGCTGAGGATCGAACCCGGGCCGCACGCATGCCAGGCGAGCGCGCTACCGCTTGAGCCACATCCCCAGCCCCCAGCCACCAGTATTCTTATTTTTTATTTTTATGTGGTGCTGAGGATCTTACCCAGTGCCTCACACGTGCTAGGCCAGCGCTCTACCACTGAGCCCCAGGGGCTCATGGGTTTTGAATTCAGGCACGTTCAGGTTCATTACTGCTCGGCTGCTTGTCTGCCGAGTGACTCAGGCCAGTCTCTTGACTTCTCTGATCTTTAATGTCCTCATCGGCCAAATGAGCTCATGCTGTGTGTCCCCTACCCTGAGCATGTCAGCAAATGCTGCTCCCCACGTCCCCCTGGTGCCAAGTGTCTGCAGTCGCTGACGTGGGCAAGGTGGCAGGTTAGACCCTGTGCCACCTCTGGGGCAGGAGTGTGTCGTCCTCGGCCCTCTGTCCCCAGTGCCCATCTTCAGTGGTGCCTCTCCCTGGCTGGGTCATGAGGGAGTCCAGGGAAGGAAACCGGAGCCTGGCCACAAGCCCTGGACCAGGCTCTGAGCCCGCCACCTCTGACCTGCCCCTCCTCCCAGGTGCATGGCTCCAGGCTGCGGCTGCCCCAGATGACCCCAGCGGACTCTGGGGAGTACGTGTGCCGTGTGGTCAGTGGCTCGGGCACCCAGGAAGCCTCAGTCCTTGTCACCATCCAGCAGCGCCCCAGCCCCTCCCACCGTAAGTGTCGTAGAGATCATGGCAAACGGTGGGGGCTTGCTAGGGGCCCATCGCCTCCTCAGCAGCTCCCACACCCCGCCCTGCACCTGTCCTCCCAGCCCAGGGTGTGGTGTACCCCGTGCGAATCGAGTCCTCCTCGGCCTCGCTGGCCAACGGTCACATGCTGGACCTCAACTGCCTGGTCGCCAGCCAAGCTCCCCACACCATCACCTGGTACAAACGCGGAGGCAGCCTACCCAGCCGGCACCAGGTTCGGAGCCAGCGGCAGGGAGGATGCTGCCCTGGTGGGAGGGCCAGGGAGGCAGGCCCTCGGTACCCCTCTGTGCTCATCTAGTCATTCAACAAACAGAGAGCGTCTGCGATGGCGTAGTCATCCTGCCAACTCAGTGGGTCTGCTCACCCACTGAGCCTCCCTGAGAGGCCCCTGCAGGCCAAGCCCTGACCTGGCACCACAGATCCCAGTCGAATAAAACAACTCTCTGCTCATTGCCTAAAGGGAACAGGCCAGGCCCACATGCCTCTAATTCCAGTGACTCAGGAGGCTGAGGCAGGAGGACCCCAAGTTAGAGGCCCCCAGTCTTAAAATTTTTTAAAATAAATTCAAATGGTGGGGATGTTGCTCAGTGGTTAGGGACCCTGAGTTCAATCTCTGGTACCAACAACAACAACAACAACAAAATTTAAATAAATAAAGAGAGGAAGACATGCTGAATGACAACACATGTGATAGCTCGGGCACCCTTGCCGGGGCCTCCGCAGGCCTTCCGGAGAGGTGACGAGGAGAACAGTACAGACACGAGAGCTGCCATCCCCCGGGAGGCAGGCCAGGCCAGGGGCCTGAGACACCTGGGACCCAGGTGACAGCATCCCCTGTGATGAGAATCCCCACCCACTGTCACCTGCTCCCTGCAGATCGTGGGCTCCCGGCTGCGGATCCCTCAGGTGACTCCCGCCGACTCTGGCGAGTACGTGTGCCACGTCAGTAACGGGGCTGGTTCCCGGGAGACCTCGCTCATCGTCACCATCCAGGGCAGCGGCTCCTCCCACGGTGAGAGCGTGGAGGGCAGGGGCCTGGGCACGTGGCGCAGAGGTCCCCAGCCCCGTCGGTCCTGTCTGACTTGGTGTCGTCCTCCCCACTCTGTCCCCAGTGCCCAGTGTCTCCCCGCCAATCAGGATTGAGTCCTCGTCCCCCTCGGTGGTGGAAGGAGACACCTTGGATCTGAACTGCGTGGTGGCTGGGCAGACCCAGGCCACCATCACGTGGTACAAGCGTGGGGGCAGCCTGCCCTCCAGACACCAGGTAGACGAGGCCCCGGAGGTGGAGGTGGAGCCCTGGGCCCCTGCGGTGGCACCCCAGGGACCGCCCAGGGGCTTCTTCTTCGATGCCCTGGACACTCTCGCGTCCTGGGCCCAGGGTAGTCGGAGGCAGCCTCCACGTGCCTCATGAGGGAAGCCCGAGCCAGTCGTGACCACGGGCTCCTCAGCTCTCCCCTCTCTCCTCCCCAGGCCCACGGCTCCCGCCTGCGGCTGCACCAAATGACCGTGGCCGACTCTGGCGAGTACGTGTGCCGAGCCAACAACAACATCGAAGCCCAGGAGGCCTCCATCGTGGTCTCGGTCGCCCCTGGCCCCAGCATCCCTTCTGGTGAGTCTGATGAAGACCTCGTCCCAGGAGAGAGACGGTGGGACCCAGGGACAGCGTCCCCTGTGATCCGAGTCCTCAGACCTGGGTAGTGGTCCGTGTAGGGTTCTGCACAAAGGTGCCTGCGTCAGATCACCAGGTGCGTGACTCCTGAACGGAGGGAGGATCATTCCAACCTCAGTGGTGCACACCTGTGACCCGAGCTACTTGGGAGGCTGAGGCAGGAGGATTGCAAATTCAAGGCCAGCCTGGGCAACCCAACGAGAACTTAAATAAAACTTGAAAAGGGGCCGGGGACATAGCGCAGTGGTAGAGTGCTGGCCTAGCAGGCATAAGGCTCTGGGTTTAATCCCCAGCATTATAAAAAAAAAAAAAATTTTCTAACCTTTCAAGTGTGCAACAGCCACATATGACTAGTGCCACTCTTGGCACGTGACTTTGTGAGGGTTAAATGAGTTAATATGGGTAAGGGCTGGGGACAGAGCTGGCGCACGGGGAGTCCTTAGTGTTAACTGCGACCCTCCCGGGGCCACGGGTCCCACAACCTCTTCTCATATCTGACCTTGGCCAAGCCCTGACTTCTGCTCCTGTGTCCCCAGTCTCTGGCAGTGCTGTGCCCATCAGGATTGAGTCATCGTCCTCACATGTGGCCGAGGGGCAGACCCTGGAGCTGAACTGTGTGGTCCCTGGGCAGGCCCACGCCCAGGTCACGTGGCATAAGCGTGGGGGCAGCCTGCCCACTCACCATCAGGTAGGGGTCGGCAGGAAACGGTGGGAGGGCTGTTGGCTGACCACAGGCTGGGCCCTGGCTAACTCTGCCCGAGAGAGAGGCCTGAGAGCCCCAGGGGGGTGCCACGTCCACCTGGGCTAGAGGCCTTCAAGGATTCCAGATTGGCCTCTGACGCCCGTGGTCCTTCTCTCTGTCCTGCCCTGCCCAGGCCTACGGCTCCAGGCTCCGGCTACGCCAGGTGTCCCCTGTTGACTCGGGCGAGTATGTGTGCCGTGTGCTGGGCAGCTCTGGCATCCAAGAGGCCTCAGTCCTGGTCACCATCCAGGCCTCTGGATCTAGTGGCGGCCACGTCCCTGGTGAGGGTGCCTGCGGGGCCTGGGAGCCTGGAAGAGGGTGGGGGGAGAGAGGGGAACAGCAAAGGGGGGCATCTGAAGACCAGCCGCCCTCCGCTCCCAGACTCCTGCCTCCTGCCCACTCCCGCGGTCCAGGACAAGGGGCCAGACTGAGGCTGGGGGAGGTCCCATCCATGTCAAGGACCTGAGAGCACAGGGTTTGGAGCTGGCATCAGTTGACCTGAGTCCCAGCTCCTCTGTCCCTACTTGAAGATGTCACCCAAGGGACTTTGCCTTTTCACATGTCACTGTTCCCAGTTGTGAAGGGGGTGGCACAGCTCTTGCTCTCTACTCTCCAACTATTAATCATCCAGGGGGTCCCCTAACGCCCGGGCCTGTGCCTCTGGGGTAGCCCTGGGTGACTTTGCGGGTGATCCAATAGACATCTTGTGGGAGCGGTACATTAGGAAAAAATGTGACACATCAAACCTGTCATGACTTCATGGAAATCGGTGCCTGTAATGGGGCTAAGTAATGAAGGTTTTTAGAGTGAGTCAATTGAAAGGAAAGTATACAGTAATTAATAGCCCAGGGGCCCTCATAGTAGCGGAAATCGTGACCGGGCGTGCCCGGCTGAGTGGGCGGCTCGCTGTCTGCTGGCCCTGGTGGACTGGCACACAGTAACTATCCCGTCCTCCCGTAGCCCTCGGAGGTGGGCACGAGTGTCTTCTCCACATACAGATGGGAAGCTGAGACCGAGGGGAAGCAGCTTTCTAAAGATCCTTGTGTCTGAACAGGAGCTTGACCCAGCAGGCTGGCCCCGGGGTCTATGTTCTTACGACACCTCCTGGAGTTTGGGAACTCTTAGTGATCTATGTGGGGGCTCCTGGCTTTATCCCTGACCCTCGTGGTCCTGGGAGCTGGAAGTGAGGCCTGAAAGTGGTACCTTTATCCCCAGGCTCGCCCATCCCCAGGGTGGCGAGGCCACCTACTCCAGGCCCAAATGTAGTGGGAAAGTAGAAAAGCCACTCTGCAGGTGGCCTCTGATCCACACATCAGGGCACCCAGGAGACGGGTCAAGGACCCAGGGGTGGGAGCCCCTGCTCACTGACCCCTTGCTCTACCCCTCTCCCAGGAGGCACCCCACCCATTCGCATAGAGACCTCTTCCTCTCAAGTGGCCGAGGGGCAGACCCTGGATCTGAACTGCGTGGTGCCCGGGCAGGCCCACGCCCAGGTCACATGGCACAAGCGTGGGGGCAGCCTGCCCGCCCGGCACCAGGTATGAAATCTGGGAAAAGCAGGATGCGCCACCCTCCCCAGTGGTCCTTCCCAAACCCGCCCCGGAAGGAAAGCAGCCCCAGCCCTGGGGGTTTCAGGGCTGGGGTGACAGATGGCTGGAGTCGGGGGTTGAGAAGAGGCTGGGAGTGACCCGGCCACCACCTCCACCCTGCACCTTGGTGCACATTACAACAGGACACTACCTACTCTTGATTCTTACTTCCTCCTGCCAGAAAGAGTGTCCTCAAAAACCTAAATGCCACACTAAAGTCAAAGGGAGTCACCTTCAGTCAGAGGCAGCCTGCATGGCAGCCAGGGGACAGAGGGACAAGAGGGTGTGGCAGTGGGAGGCCTGGGCCACCATTCCCAGATCTTCCGTGCACTTTCACCCCACGTTGGCCAGGTCCACGGCCACCTACTGAGGCTGAACCACGTGTCTCCTGCCGACTCTGGGGAGTACTCATGCCAAGTGACAGGCAGCTCGGGGACCCTGGAGGCTTCCGTCCTGGTCACGATTGAGGCTTCCAGCCCAGGCCCTATTCCTGGTGAGTGACAAGCAGCAGTGGGCGATGGCGAGGCCCGGGCTCGGGGCCCTTCCTGGTTCTGCTCCTGATCTCACCTCAGGACTCTTTTTTGGTCATTGCTACTGGGGATCAAACCAGGGCTTCACGCCTGAGGCGAGCGCTCCACCAGGGAGCTACACCCCAGTCCCCTCAGGGCTCTTACTGTCACCTGGATCATGGGGTTTTCTGTGGCTGAAGACCAAGCCTAGCCAGGTGTTCCCAGATGTGACTGGCGAAGCTCCACAGCTGCTGCTGTGTCCCTGGGCCCTGGCCCTCCTCCAGCCCCTCCCCTTAACCAGCGGGAGTGAGCCCTGGCTCAGCTCCTAAGTCCCCAGGGAAGGGGGACCTCCTTAGGTCAATGTGGCTCAGCTCTGTCACTCGCAAGCCTCAGCACCTCCAGGGGACCAGTGGCCTTGTGCCACCACCAGAGGTCCCGGCTTTACCCCAGGAGCCTGCCTCTCCCCCGCCCCTGTCCCCACAGCCCCGGGACTGGCCCAGCCCATGTACATCGAGGCCTCTTCCTCACACGTGGCCGAGGGACAGACCCTGGATCTGAACTGCGTGGTGCCCGGACAGGCCCATGCCCAGGTCACGTGGCACAAGCGAGGGGGCAGCCTGCCCGCCCGGCACCAGGTATGGGGCCCGGCTGGGGAGGACCCTAGTGCAGGAAGGTCCACCCTGCATTTTCCTTCTGCTCCTAGACCTCATGCCAACCCCCTGCTAGGGGACCAGGGCCACCAAATACCTGTCAGGGAAGAATTCCCGAGGGACCTGGACTTTTCTCCCAGCCCTGCAGCTGCTCGTCCCTCGAGCCTCAGTTGTCCCCTCTGTGGAGTGAGCCCTTGGCCCCTGGGGTTCTGGGAACGAAGCTTTGCTCAGCCCTGAGCTCAGCTGGCACCCAAGCTCCTGAGTCCTCAGAAAGACCTGTGCTGGCAATGGCCCCTGTCTCAAGCCACCTGGCCTGATGGGTCCCCTCTCCTCCCCTCCTCCCGCTGACAGACCCACGGCTCCCAGCTGCGGATCCACCACTTCTCCCCGGCTGACTCGGGTGAGTACGTGTGCCGAGTGGCCGGCAGCACAGGTCCTGAGCAGGAAGCCTCCTTCATGGTCACAGCCGTCCCCAGTGCAGGGTCTTCCTACCGTGAGTGTGGGGGATGCTGCAGGCAAGGGGGGGGGAAGACCCTGGAGCTGAGGTGGGGCGTCCCTGTCAAGTCATCCCCGCCCGCTGAGCCCGGCCCTTTGCCCCCGGGCTCAGGTCTCCGGAGCCCCGTCATCTCCATCGACCCACCCAGCAGCACCGTGCAGCAGGGCCAGGACGCCAGCTTTAAGTGCCTCATCCACGAGGGGGCGGCCCCCATCAGCCTGGAGTGGAAGACCCGGAACCAGCAGCTGGAGGGTGAGCGCCAGGGCAGCTGGGCTGCGGGCAGGCTTGAGGGCCTGGGTGAGAGGGCAGGGGCAGAAGACCACGCCCACACCACGTCCACGTTGGTCTGTAGTGAGTCTCCACGGACTTTTATTTTCTGCCATCTGGGACTCTGTGTCACATACCCAGGCCTGAGAGGTTGGGGACATGGGGCAGAGGGACAGCAGCTGGCAGTGCCAAGGCAGGAGGAGAACCTCACTGGCCTCCTCCGTCAACACAACCCACAGACAATGTCCACATCAGCGCCGACGGCTCTACCGTCACCATCGTGGGCAGCCGACCCAGCAACCACGGGGCCTACCGCTGCGTGGCCTCCAACGCCTACGGCGTGGCCCAGAGTGTGGTGAACCTCAGCGTGCACGGTGAGGGGGCGCGGCCCTGCGCTCTGGCTCCCTGTTGGCCCTCCTCCCTCTCTGAGCACCAGAGTGGAGGGGAGACTGGTGCTCCCCCAGCGTTACCCAGCGGGGACTGGGACGTGCACATCGGCCCAGTCATGCTGTGGGTCAGCGGCGGTCGTTCCTCTGGGCAGGGCCGCCCACGGTGTCCGTGCTCCCCGAGGGACCCGTGCGGGTGAAGGTGGGGAAGGACGTCATCCTGGAGTGCATCAGCACTGGGGAGCCCCGCTCCTCTGCCCGCTGGACCCGGGTGGGCACTCCTGCCAAGTTGGAGCCTCGGACCTATGGGCTGGTGGACAGCCACACGGTGCTGAAGGTGAGGTCGGGGCTGTTCCGTCTTGGCCTGAGCTCCGTCCAGGACCTGGCCCAGAGCAGCTGCCTGGAGGAGGGGCAGGAGGGTGGAGCAGGTGGAGAGGGAAGCAGGGAGGCCATAGGTGGGTGGTGGGTAGACAGGTGATGGGGGAGGAGAGGGACGGGGAAAGAGGAAAAGGAGGGATGGAAGGTGGCGGGCTGATGAAGGGGTGGATGATGGCCGCGTGGGTTGGACGGATGGACTTGTGGCCCTCAGTAGCCAGGCAGAGGAGCTAAAAGCCGAGGGCCCAGCTCAAAGCCCCCAAGCCACCTCCTTGCTCTCCTCTAGATTGCAGCGGTAAAACCCTCTGACGCGGGCACCTACGTGTGCCTCGCCCAGAATGCCCTGGGCACAGCACAGAAGCGTGTGGAGGTGATCGTGGACTCGGGCACCGCAGCCCCAGGGGCCCCCCAGGTCCAAGTTGAAGCAGCTGAGCTGACCTTGGAAGCTGGGCACACAGCCACACTGCGCTGCTCAGCCACAGGTGCGGCCAGGGGTGGCCCACGGGGCTGGCACAGCAGAGGTGCCCTAGAGCCTGGGTTGTAGACACGTGGGATCTGAAGATGACGTTGTGGCCAGGAAGCACCCACTTAGTGGCTCCGTGGAGGGCAGGTCACCCTCCACCAGTCCAACCAAGGCCATCTTCTCCTCTACCCCACAGGCAGCCCCACGCCCACCATCCACTGGTCCAAGCTGCGCTCCCCCCTGCCCTGGCAGCACCGGCTGGAAGGCGACACACTGGTCATCCCCCGGGTGGCCCAGCAAGACTCGGGCCAGTACATCTGTAATGCCACCAGCCCTGCGGGGCATGCCGAGGCCACCATCATGCTGCACGTGGAGAGTAAGACGCTCATCCCCTCCCCTTGGGCTCCCCTGTGCATGGTGTGGGAACAAAGTCCCCCACAGAGCCCCGGGACCCCCTCTCATCCGGAGGACCTCAGAGACTGCCCTTGCTGGCATCCAAGTCCCCACCTGTCCCCGGTGCTCTCCATCCTGTCCTCTGGGCTTCCCTGGTCTTTTGTCACCCAGGCCCAATTCCTTGCTGCCATCCTGACCTGTCCTCCCCCCACCTCTGTGTCCCCTGACTCCAGGCCCACCGTATGCCACTGTCGTCCCAGAGCACGCGTCTGTGCGGGCAGGGGAGACGGTGCGGCTCCAGTGCCTGGCCCACGGCACGCCCCCGCTCAGCTTCCAGTGGAGCCGCGTGGACGGCACCCTCCCCCGGAGGGCAGCCGCCAGGAACGAGCTGCTGCAGTTTGAGGCCACAGGCCCTGAGGACTCTGGCCGCTACCGCTGCCAGGTCGCTAACAGGGTGGGCTCAGCAGAGGCCTTTGCCCAGGTGCTTGTCCAAGGTAAGCAGCGGGGCTCCGGGTGGACGGAAAGGAGCCAGCTTGCCTCTGGGCACATGGGGTACCAAGGCCTCCTCCTTTCCCCCACCACAGCGCCCTGCTCTCCTCGGTTCTCCGGGGCGCACGCGGGCTTGCCCGTTCCAGAAAGTGCCCTGTGTTCTCCGCCCCGCCCGCCTCCATCACCACCTCCCTCCCTTGGCACTGCCCTGGCAGGGGAAGCTCCTGTGTGCGCCAATTCCCCAGCCGCTCACTGCCAGACGCCAGGCGCTCAGGGCAGGACCTGGACCCACTCATCTCAGCTGCCCTGGGTTTGTCCACCACAGGGCCCAGGCAGACTGGGAACATGCTTGACGGGGGCAACAGTGTGAGGCCCAGTCCTGCAAAGCCAGGCGAGGGCTTCTGGGCCCGGACTTCTAGAAACAGCAGGGCACGAAGCCCACTAGCCAAGGGCCTGGACTGTGGTCTCAGGCAGGCCCTCTCTCTGGTCAGTTGGTAAGAGACAGATGGCAAGGTGGACAGGAAATGCCTCCACGTAGGCAGTTAGAGCTGCCCACGGCTCGTGGGGCCCTTAGGAAATGCAGGCAATGCTTCTACCCCCGCCCATCGCACACACCCGGGTCTTCACCGTGGCACGTCCCTGATCTCTTATTTTGAGCTACAGCCGGAACAGTCTTTGTCATCCTTCCTTAAGACGTCTGACTCCTAGCCAGGCGCAGTGGCTTGGGATCCTGAGGCAGGAGGTTTGGGAGTTCAAGGCCAGCCTCAGCAATTTAGCAAGGCCCTAAGCAACTCAGTGAGACCCTTTATCAAAATAAAAAATGAGGGCTGGGGATACAGCTCAGTTGGTAAAATGCTTGCCTCGCTGCCCAAGGCCTTGGGTTTGATCCCCAACACCACAAAAAAAAAATAATAAAAAGTTAAAAGGTCTGGGGTGTGGCTCAGTGGTTAAGTGCCTCTGGGTTCAATCCCTTGTACAAAAAAAAAAAAAAAAAAGATGTCAAAACTCCTTTCGCTCTTTCCTGGGGCTGCCCTTCCCGCCCTAGGGCCAGACACCTGCCTCCCACACAGAGCGAGACCCACAGAACCTTGCACCTCTCTCTTCAGGTCCCTCAGGCTCTCAGCTTGCCACCCATGTCCTGGCAGGATCCACGCCCACCGTGCAGGTCACCCCTCAGCTGGAGACCAAGAGCATCGGGGCCAGTGTTGAGTTCCACTGTGCCGTGCCCAGCGACGCGGGCACCCAGCTTCGTTGGTTCAAGGAAGGGGGCCAGCTGCCTCCTGGCCACAGCGTGCAGGATGGGGTGCTCCGGTGAGTGCTGGTGGGTCGGGGTGGGGCTCAGACCCCCCAGCCCAAGACTCAGCTGGGCCCTCAACCCAAAGCAAAGTCCTTGCGCACGTCACTTTACCTTTCTGAGCCTCAGTGTTCTCAGCCCAAGAGTGAGTTGTAGAAGAGGGAAACGCGTCCTCTCCAGCACCTAGCCGTCGCTTGGCGTTTGGGAGACCCCCAGTAGCGGTGGCCCATGTCTGCACTTGTGGTTTGTTTGGTTTTTTTAGGAGGGTAGGTACCAGGGATTGAACTCAGGGGCACTCGACCACTGAGCCCCATCCCCAGCCCTATAGTGTATTTTATTTAGAGATAGGATCTCACTGAGTTGCTAAGCGCCTTGCTTTTTTGCTGAGGCTGCCTTTGGACTCAGTGATCCTCCTGCTTCAGCTCCCGAGCCACTGGGATGACAGGCGTGTGCCACCGTGCCCAGCTGCACTGGTATTAGTGGACGAAGGAGAACAGCTCTGGGGCCAGGCATGGACCCATGACCGAGGGCAGAAGGCCTTTGTCTGCAGTGGGAGTGGTGCCCCACCTGCCCACCTCTAGTGCTCACAGGGGGGCTGGCAGCCGGCCCTGGCTTCCTATCAGGGTGAGCCCTGAACTCTCTGTGATTGTGGAGCATCCTCAATGGGTGTGACTCCCTCAATCCTTTTTCCTTACAGAATCCACAACCTAGACCAGAGCTGCCAAGGGACATACGTTTGCCAGGCCCATGGGCCCTGGGGACAGGCCCAGGCCAGTGCCCAGCTGGTTGTCCAAGGTAGGGAAGTCCCCTTCATGTGAAAGGATGAAGTAAATCATGGGATCTGCTTGCTGGAGGCCAGCATGGCATAGGGGGCCTTGTTCAGATTGCAAGGGAGGAAGGAGGGCAGGGTGGCCATAGTGGCCGGTGCTCAGGCAACAAATAGTGGCCACAGGATAGTAACACACACACAAAGAGCTGCGTCATGGAATGGGGGAAAGCACACGCTGAGAGGGAGGAATGGCCAGGGCCAGGCTCTCCTGTTCCAGGGCAGTCTGTGGCCTCCCCGGCCAGCTGACCTCTGCCTCCTGCTCCCCAGCGCTGCCCTCGGTGCTCATCAACATCCGCACCACTGTGCAGACCGTGGTGGTCGGCCATGCCGTTGAGTTTGAGTGCCTGGCACTGGGTGACCCCAAGCCTCAGGTGACGTGGAGCAAAGTTGGAGGACACCTGCGGCCTGGCATCGTGCAGAGTGGAAATGTCATCAGGATCGCCCACGTGGAGCTGGCCGACGCAGGACAGTACCGCTGCACCGCCACCAACGCGGCCGGCACCACCCAGTCCCATGTGCTGCTGCTTGTGCAAGGTGAGCGCCAGCAGGGTCCTTGGTGGGGCGCGCACGGAGCCGGGGCTCCTGACGCTGCTGTCTCCCCCCACCCCCCACCCCCCACCCCGCCTGCTTTGCTCCTCCTTCCCGATGTCCTGCGAATTTTCCTGTGGTCATATTTAAGGGGCAGATTTCATCACAAATGGTGGCAGGAGGGGGTGAAAGGGAGTGGCCCCTGGAGAGAGCTATGCCATGGGCATCAAGAGGAAAAAGGAGGAGGCGGGCATGGTGGAACACACCTGCAATCCCAGCTTCTCGGGAGGCTGTGAAGGGAGGATCTGGGTTCAAAGCCAGCCTCAGCAACGTCGAGGTGCTAAGCAACTCAGTGAGCCCCGTCTAAACAAAATAGGGCTGAGGGTGGGGCTCAGTGGTCAAGCGTCCCTGAGTTCAATTAAAAAAGAGGAGAAAGGATCTGTAGTCCTGACTCAGGGAGTGCCCGCCCCGTGCAGAGAGGGCTACAGCCCAATCTGCTGGCGGAGATGAACCCAAATATTGTGGAAAGTGAGGGAAGGACCGCGGGTGCAGGCACCGAGCTGTTTTCCTGAAAGCTGATTCTGTTTCACCTACGACCTGCCCCCAGACCTCCGCACCTGTACTACCTTAGGACCCTCCTCGAGTCCCCACAGGACTATACAGTTTTCTGCCGGGGCCTGTGGGAAAGGTCTTGGCTGTGGAGCAGGTGGCCCTGTCTCCGCACCAAGACTGAGCGGCCGCGGTCCCCTCATCCGTAAAACAGACATGGCGCCTCCCTCAAGGGATGGTGTGAGGATTAGATGGGGCAGGGCCCAGGCTGGGCACACACACGGTGGCTGTCATCATGCCGATGGCCGTGTCTTGTCCCCCCAGCCTTGCCCCAGATCTCCACACCGCCAGAGGTGCGTGTGCCCGCCGGCTCTTCGGCTGTCTTCCCCTGCATGGCCTCCGGCTACCCGACTCCTGACATCACCTGGAGCAAGGTAAATGCTGGGCAGGGACCTGGGCGGGGCCTGCCTCACTGGCCATCTCAGCACCCCAGGGCCTGGCACATACCTGGCGAGTGAAGTGGGCCTGGGGCAGGACGGGAGGCACCCACGGCAGACATGGCCAAGGCCAGGTGCTCAGAGCCACGTTTGCAGGTGGACAGCCACCTGCCCCCCGACAGCCGCCTGGAGAACAACATGCTCGTGCTGCCCTCCGTGCGGCCCCAGGACGCAGGCACCTACGTCTGCACCGCCACCAACCGCCAGGGCAAGGTCAAAGCCTTTGCCCATCTGCAGGTCCCAGGTGAGACAACGCCCCCAGAGTGGACAGTGCCCCACCCACTCCCTGGAGGGCATCCTAACGTACTCTGTGCCCACAGAGCGGGTGGTGCCCTACTTCACCCAGACCCCCCACTCCTTCCTGCCGCTGCCCACCATCAAGGATGCCTACAGGAAGTTTGAGATCAAGGTCACCTTCCGGCCAGACTCAGCTGATGGTGAGCAGCAGAGAGCGGGTCTGGGGCTGGCCTGGGAGGGGACCTGTGGCAGCCCCCAGTCCTGCCCTCTGGGAGGGGACATCTGCAGAGCCCCTCTCCTGCCTCTTCTCCTCACGGCTCCTCCTCTGCGCTATCCCGCCTCCCACAGCCTCTCTGTCATTGGCACCTCAGTGCCAGCCCTCCTGACCCGTCTCTCACCCATTCCTCCTCTCTCTCTCGTCTCTCCCGGGTCTCTGACTCTCCCTGGCCAGGCCTCCTTCTCTACTCGGGTGAGTCTCTGGTCCCTCGCCTCCTGCAGGTGGAAGCTCCCGGGTGCATGACGCCAGCTTCTGTCTGTCTAGCGCTCGCAGCAGGGCCTTCAGTGTAGGCCCCATCCCGTGAGAGGTCTCTGGCCACATGAGGTGTGCCAAGAGGAGGGGCCGGAGTCCCTTAGAAAGGCGCTGGAGCTTGGGTCATTGGAAGGCGGGTGTGACGGGAGCCTGTGGTGACACGCTGTCCCTGCCCAGGGATGTTGCTGTACAACGGGCAGAAGCGGACCCCGGGGAGCCCCACCAGCCTGGCCAGCAGGCAGCCCGACTTCATCTCCTTCGGCCTCGTGGGCGGAAGACCCGAGTTCCGGTGAGACTCTTCCCCGGGCACTGGATACAGGACCTTGGTCCTGCAGACAGACACACATTCCCATCAGCCATGAGCAGAAAGGCAAGGTCGCCTCGGAAAGACCCAGAGCCGTGAAGCCAGGCCGGGCTGCAGGTCCTGGAGCGGTCTGAGCTCTGGGCTGCTGGGTGCAGCTCTGGGGAAAGGGTGGAGGGAGGAAGACCTGGGGAAGGTCAGGGACAGGCTGGCTGGGGCAGTGCCGGGAGGACCAGGCACGAACCGGAGCAGCCCTCCTTACCAGCCCTGTGCCTCCTCTCTCCCACCCTGGCGCTGCCCACCGAGCAGGTTTGATGCAGGCTCTGGCATGGCCACCATCCGCCACCCCACCCCGCTGGCCCTGGGCCAGTTCCACACGGTGACCCTGCTGCGCAGCCTCACCCAGGGCTCACTGGTTGTGGGCAACTTGGCCCCAGTTAATGGGACCTCCCAGGTGAGACCACAGCCCCCCACTCAGGCCCCCCACTCCTGGCCCCCCGCCCGCCCCTGCCCAGGCCGCCGGCCGCCCCTGACGCCCCCACCTTCCCAGGGCAAGTTCCAGGGTCTGGACCTGAACGAGGAGCTGTACCTGGGCGGGTACCCCGACTACGGCGCCATCCCCCACGCAGGGCTGAGCAGCGGCTTCGTAGGTAAGGCAGGACCCCCAGGAGCCTGCGGGGCACGGTGGCTGTGGCCCCCTGGCTCATGCTGCCCTCGGCCCCCAGGCTGTGTCCGGGAGCTGCGCATCCAGGGCGAGGAGACCATCTTCCAGGACCTCAACCTCACTGCGCACGGCATCTCCCACTGCCCCACCTGCCGCGACCGGCCCTGCCAGGTCCTGCCATGCCCTCGCCCCCCACCCCCGGCTGCCCCGAGTCCTGCAGGGAGGGGGGAGGACGGGGGCGTCCTTGGCCTGACCTCTGGGGGCTGGTTTTCAGAACGGGGGCCAGTGCCAGGACTCGGAGAGCAGCAGCTACGTGTGCGTCTGTCTGTCTGGCTTCACAGGGAGCCGCTGCGAGCACTCCCAGGCCCTGCACTGCCACCCCGGTGCGTGCCCCGCCCTGCCCGTCACTGCCACCCTGGGTGCTGGCCTCCGCCCCTGCTGCCCCTTTGTACCCACCCCCTCCCCAACCTCTCGCCATTCCTGCCCAGGAACTGAACTCTTGCCTTCGCAGACCCCAGGTTCTCTCCCCGGCGGCCACTGCTCCTGGGTCCCTGCCACCTCCCCATCTTACTACCCAGGAGCCCGTCACCCTACACGGTGACCCAAACGTGGTCTTTTTTTGCGGGGGCGGTGGCCAAGTACAGTCTCAGAGAGCCCCGGGCACAGTCACTTCTGCACGCCAGGCTGTCCCCCCTCGCAGCCTTTCTGGCCCCACTCCTCCTCCCTCCGGCCCTCTCAGCTGGCCTGGCCCTAGGAAGCCAAGCCCCAGGGTGCAAAGGACAGGGCTCAGACCTCAGTGTCCTCATGGCCCCTGTGCTCCCCAGAGGCCTGTGGGCCGGACGCCACCTGTGTGAACCGGCCCGATGGCCGAGGCTACACCTGCCGCTGCCACCTGGGTCGCTCGGGGGTGAGGTGTGAGGAAGGTGAGTGGAATCAGGTGTGACACCCACAGGGTCTCAGTGATGGCTGTGGAAGCTGGCCAGGCACTCAGAGGCCAGACTGAGCCCTGCAGGGGATAGTTATTCCCCGGAAGACCTCAGATCGGCTGGGTGCGGTGGCCCACGTCTATGGTCCCAGCAGCTCAGGAGGCCGAGGCAGGAGGATCACAGTGTAAAGCCAGCCTCAGCAGTTTAGTGAGACCTCGTCTCTAAAAAATAATATAAAAAAGGACTGGGGATGTGGCTCAGTGGCTAAGCACTCCGGGGTTCAATTTCCCGGTACCCAAAAGAAAAAAATCTCAGATCCCTTGGCCATGCTGTCTCACGCTTGCAGCCTGAACCCTTACCTGCGCCCCCACCCAGCATGGCTAACTTATGGGCAGTCCCTACAGTCTGATCTGCTGCCCCAGGGCCAGGGCTGCTGGGCACTGCAGCCACATGTTCCTGAGCCTCTGGGTTGGGGACTTAGGGGTACTGGGGTCCCAGGGTAAGACTGAGTAGCTGTCCTGGGTAAGACATGGGACTCCACTGTCCCCACTGTCCCTGGCTGACCTGTGACCACTGCAGGTGTGACAGTGACCACACCGTCCATGTCGGGCGCTGGCTCCTACCTGGCGCTGCCCGCCCTCACCAACACTCACCACGAGCTGCGCCTGGATGTTGAGTTCAAGCCGCTGGCACCTGAAGGCATCTTGCTGTTCAGTGGGGGGAAGGCCGGGCCTGTGGAGGACTTTGTGTCCCTGGCCATGGTCGGCGGCCACCTGGAGTTTCGCTATGAGTTGGGATCAGGTAAGTACCTGGTACCAAATGCAGGTGAGGCTCTGGGCGCCAAGCCCTGTGCCCTCTTTGGCTCTCGTGCCCCAAGGAGGCGCTAAGGAGCAAATTCAGGAACCAACGCGCCCGCTGCCCCTATCCCTGCACGTTTCCCGTGGGTGGCCTTCAGCAGCCCCGGGTTCCTCCATGGGCAGCCCCTGAGGAGGTCAGAAGCTCCCCTGTATGTGGGGGGACCAGAACCCTGGTGCCCAGCTCCACCTGGTGCTCTCCCCAGGCCTGGCTGTCCTGCGAAGCACCGAGCCGCTGGCCCTGGGCCGCTGGCACCGCGCGTCCGCAGAGCGTCTCAACAAGGACGGCAGCCTGCGGGTGGACGGCGGGCGCCCCGTGCTGCGCTCTTCCCCCGGCAAGAGCCAGGGCCTCAACCTGCACACCCTCCTCTACCTGGGCGGCGTGGAGCCCTCAGTGCCGCTCTCCCCGGCTGCCAACGTGAGCGCCCACTTCCGCGGCTGCGTGGGCGAGGTGAGGAACCGCCTGTGAGGACGAGCAGGAGGGGAGGGGACAGATGGGCCAACCTGCAGCTAGCCCTGGTCCTGGGGTCACCCTCCCCTGCTCCCCCTGCACTTTGGTTTCCCCTCCATAAAATGGGGATAATAGACAGCACGGTGGCACAGCCTGTGACCCCAGCGGCTCTGGAGGCTGAGGCAGGAGGATCGTGGGTTCAAAGCCAGCCTCAGCAATGAGGAGGTGCTAAGCAACTCAGTGAGACCCTGTCTCTAAATAAAACACAACACAGGGCTGGGGTGGGGCTCAGTGGTCGAGTGCCCCTGAGTTCAATCCCTGGTACCCCCCCAAAAAATGATATATATATAGGAATGCTAGTCCCCACTTGGAAGGACCGTGCTGGGCATCGGCAGGGTGGACGGGTGTTCTTGGCGCCTGGTTCCCGGCTGCCCTCCGCTGTGCCCTTCTCTCTGCTGCCTCATCCATCTGCATCCCTTTAGTCCCTCCATGTCCCTGTGCCTGCAGGTGTCTGTGAATGGCAAGCGGCTGGACCTCACCTACAGCTTCCTGGGCAGCCAGGGCATCGGACAGTGCTACGACAGCTCCCCCTGTGAGCGCCAGCCCTGCCAGCATGGCGCCACGTGCATGCCCGCTGGCGAGTACGAGTTCCAGTGCCTGTGTCAAGACGGCTTCAAAGGTGCAAGAGCTGCCCGGGGCATTGGGGACACAGGTGGTCAGCGGCACCTCTAGCCCCTGCCCACCTACCCACCTCTGCCCTGGCCTGCAGGAGACCTCTGTGAGCACGAGGAGAACCCCTGCCAGCTCCGGGAGCCCTGTCTGCATGGGGGCACCTGCCAGGGCACCCGCTGCCTCTGTCTCCCTGGCTTCTCTGGCCCACGCTGCCAACAAGGTACCAGGCCTGGCTTCTGTCCACCTCCCTCTGGGGCCCAGGGGCTGGACACCCCAGGTGTCTGTACCCACCAGTTAGAACCTCCCCTTCCCCACAGGCTCTGGACATGACGTGGCAGAGTCCGAGTGGCATCTTGAAGGCAGTGGGGGTAACGGTATGTACTTGCTGTGGCCAGCCAGAGCAGCCATTGTCCCTTCAGCCTCAGTCTTCCAGTTACCCACACCCTCAATTCCACAAAACAGGCCTTGGAGGGACTTACCAGGCACAGTGCTGTGCGCCTGTAATCCCAGTAGCTCTGGAGGCTGAGGCGGGAGGATCACAAGTTGAGCAGTTATCCTGGGTGCTTGGTGGAGAGTAGCAGAGTGTCCTGCCCTTGCACCTGCCAGGCCTGTGCTGCCCGCTGGCTTGCCAGTGGGTCTGAGTGGGTGTTGGGGTGGTGTGGCCCTGGAGCCAGCAGGCCCAGGTTGCAGGCTTCCCACCTATAAGCCAAGGATCACCTGGGCTTGGAACAGCCCGGGCCCAGGGTCTGGGGCAGCCAGCTGTCCCTGTTTGCTGAGGACTAAGGGTTTCAGAAGCTGTGGGGCTCAAGTCAGACAGACCCTGGTCAACAGGGATCCGGCCCACCCACCATGGACCCTGTCAGCTGCAGGACATAAGAAATTTCAAAGGAAACTGGCTATAGACCGAAATGAAGTTATCAAACCACTTTTTAGATTTGCAACAACGTGCTTCTTTATTAGCACATTCAACAGCAGGGTCTTGTGGTGGTCTGAAGAGCTACCGCTGTTTTCAAAACAGCAGGAACAGAAACAATATTTTAAAATATTTGTAGCTAAACAATATGGCTACTCTAAGGTGATCAGCAAATATTAGTGACAGTCACAGGCCCCGCTACTGCTGCTCTGGTTGGTCACCTCCATCCCTGGCTGAAGAAGTGTCTGGAAGAAGCACAGAGTCAGAGTTTCCCCTCCGAGTTCACAGACCCCAACCGTGTTGATGGCCCCTCTGCCTGCCCAGGTGTCTGGGTATCAGGGACTGCAGGGCCCGAGCCCCCCGGCAGTGGGGTGGAGGGGGGGTCAGGGAACCCCAGGGACCTGATGGGAGCAGGTGTCTCCCCACTCCCTCCCCACCCCGCAGATGCCCCCGGGCAGTATGGAGCCTACTTCCATGACAACGGCTTCCTCTCCCTGCCCAGCCGCGTCTTCTCCAGGAGGTAAGAAGGTGTTGGTTGGGACAGCCTGCCCACCCAGGGGGAGGACAGGCATCTCAGGTTTCTGTCCTCTCCCCCCTCCTCCACCACAGCCTGCCTGAAGCACCCGAGACTGTGGAGCTGGAGGTTCGGACCAGCACGGCCAGCGGCCTCCTGCTCTGGCAGGGCGTGGTGAGTGGGCACTGGCCCTGAGTCTCGGGACTCCTGGGCAGAGGCTGGCCTCCTGGAGGCCGGGGCAGAGGGGAGAGAGGAAGGTGAAGGCTACCGCCATAGAGGACCTCGGCTTTCTACGCTGGGGACCCTAGAGACCTGTGCTTCCTTGGCAGGAGGTGGGAGAGGCCGGCCACGGCAAGGACTTCATCAGCCTCGGACTGCAGAATGGGCACCTGGTCTTCAGGTGAGTCCTGGCCCCTCCCACAGGCAAGCTGCCTCTCCCAGAGCCCCCCCAACACGGTGCCCGCCCTTGCCAGCCGCACCTCCAGTCCTGCCCCAGCTCACGCCTTCACGGCCTGTGCCCCACAGCTACCAGCTAGGCAGCGGGGAGGCCCGCCTGGTCTCTGAGGACCCCATCAATGACGGCGAGTGGCATCGTGTGACAGCACTGCGGTAAGGATGTGCCCGGTGGGCACTGGAGATAAGGGCCCACGGTGCTTCAAGGGGACAGGATGCCCATGATGCCCAGAGAGGTAGCGCTGAGCTTGGGAGGCCGAGTGTGGAGCAGGGGGCAGCTCCCGGCAGCTCAGGGAAGGCCCTGGAGGCGGAGGCCCCGCGAGGGAAGACCCTGGAGCAGGCTCGGGTGGGGTCGGGGCCTGCTCTCCAGAGGGAGGCGCTGGGAGCAGGCGGGGGCTTGTCTGGAGCCTGCCCGGGGGCGGGTTGCTGTGGTTGGGAATTCGGGGCGAGGGCCTGACCCAGTTCCACCGCAGAGAGGGCCGGCGAGGCTCCATCCAGGTCGATGGCGAGGAGCTGGTCAGCGGGCGGTCCCCAGGCCCTAACGTGGCAGTCAACACCAAAGGCAGCGTCTACGTCGGTAAGTCCCATGCTGCTGGGCCTTCTGCTGGCAGGGAAGGGAGCTGCCCCCTGCAATGCCCGAGTCCCCTGGAGTGCCCTGGAGTCCCCTGGCCTGCTGGGCTCCTGGGCTTCTGCAGCCAACAGGTCCTCGTACTCCACTCCCCACAGGCGGAGCCCCGGACGTGGCCGCGCTGACCGGGGGCAGGTTCTCCTCGGGCATCACGGGCTGTATCAAGAATCTGGTCCTGCACTCGGCCGGGCCTGGCGCGCCACCCCCGCAGCCCCTGGACCTGCAGCACCGCGCCCAGGCGGGGGCCAACACAGGCCCATGCGCCTCCTAGGCACCTGCTGCCCCACACGGACTCTGGGCAGGGCCCCCGCCAACCACATGGAGTATATTATTATTAATATTATTATGGTGAATTTTTTGTAAGAAACCGAGGCAATGCCACGCTTTGCTGCTACGCCCTGGGCTGGACTGGAGTGGGCACGCCACCCCCCCACACGTGGACAGGCCGCAGGCGGGTGGGCGGGCAGGCAGGAGGGGAGTAGGTTGCCTCCAAAGGCCACCAGGACTCGGGGCCGGCACGGGGGCTGGGTGGAACTGCCCCTGCTCTCCTGCCCACAGGGGGCTTCCCATCATAGAGTTGGGGTGTCATTTGGGCCGCCCTTGGGCACCCCTTCTTCCACAGAGAGCAAACCTTAGCTCACCACCTGGGGCCTAAGAGCAGGCGCTGCAGTGGCCGTGCCCACCTCTCCCCACTGTGGAACCTGCCTCCTCCTACACAGCAGGGCCACCTGCCCTGGCAGCCTCCCCCCCAAGCCCTCCGCCTGCACCCCACCCCAACACCCAGCCCAGGGCCCTGCCCTCAGGGGCTGCAAGGGAAACCCCATCCAACTCTCACTGGCAGCTGCCGCGGCAGAGGCCACCCGGAGAGGCCTCCTGCCACACCAGGCCACACCCCCCACTCATCTGGAGGTGAAGGCCCAGGGGATGGGGGGGCCTTGGGTCGGGAGGAGCAGTGCCTTGGGCGGGGGAAGCGAGACTCCTGACTGGAGGGGGAGGAGGGGGAGCGACCGCGCTGCCCGCCTGAGAGCCTCAGGGCCCAGCGGGGTCAGCGGGCCCTGGACTGTGGCATTGGACCCCTGGCCTCAGGGTCCTACAAGGGACCCTGCTGTGGTCTTTGTCTTGATTTTTCTTAATAAACGGTGCTATCCCCGCCAGGGGTCTCCTGTGTCTTTGACCAGTCCTGACCCGGCTGCACCTGAGGGTGGGCCAGGGTGGGCAGAGCTGGGCCACAGAGACCCTGGAGTGAAGCAGGGTGACCTCGGTGGGCAAACCCCTCCCTGCCCTGCTCATGGATCCCACAGATAGGAGCCACGGCACAGCTGTCCCCCTTCCCCACGCCACGGGACCAGTTCCTGTGTGAGCTTTACCTCCTGTGACCCTCACACCCGGGCAGCGGGACTTGCACTGTTCTCCAGAGGGGTAGACACAAGTGACCTGTCCAAGGCCCGCCAGCTAGCCAGGACTTGGAGCTCAGGACGTGTCTGGCCCCAGAGCCCACTCTCGTCCCCAGACCCCCACAGCCTCTCTAGGGACGGTCTCCCGATCCTGGAAGGCCAGCCCACTCTGCCGTAGCCCCCCAGGGGCTACCCGGTCAGGACACGTGTGGCAGATGTTGCAGGGTGCACTGCGTTGGAGGCGGAGGCCATGGACCCCAGGTTCCCAGGCCAGCCAGCCCAGGGAGCAGCAGCACCACAGGAGGCCCACGAGGAGGCCAGCAGAGGCCAGCAGCAGAGAGGAGGCCAGCGCCAGCCCCTGTAACCCAGGGCCTGCCAAGGAAAAGGGAGTCCAGTTAGCCGCAGCCTGGGCCCACAGTCCCGTCCCCCTCACCTGGACAGGGACGAGTGTGGGAAGAGCAGGAATGCACGTCACCAACAGCCGTCTGTCTGTCTACCTTCCAAAACTGCGTCCTCCTGGGCAGGGTCCCCGCTTCCTGGGGGGCTTGTCTGGGCGGTGACCTGGAGGGGGTCTGCAGAGCCGAGAGCCAGGGGCTCAGAGGCGTTGTCGTGTGTGCTCCTGGTCCATCTGGGTACTGCAGAGGGACCTGCAGTGGGCAGTGACTGCTAGCACACAAGGGACCGCCCCTTCTGGGCACCTCCTCCTGCGGCCCCTGAGTTGGCCTCTCTGAGTGCTTCCGTTTTACAGGCCACGAAAGTCATTGAGCCTCCAAGCTGAGGTCTCTTGCCAAGGTCACACAGTGGGAGGGGAGGAGGGGGCTTGGACGCCCCCCTGTGGGAGCCACTCTGAGTGACTCGCTCCTTCCATCCTGAAGTGACAGGCTCTGACCGTCACATACCAGGCGAGCACTCTTCACTGAGCTACAGCCCTAGCCCCGGTTGTTACATTGCTGTCACTACGTTTCCCAGTGACCTGGACGTGGTCCCGGTCCAGGAAGTTGAGGGCGCGTCTTCAGGTGTAGGCGGGTCACCCCTGGGTTGAGCCACACTCACCTGTGCCTTTGTAATCCTGCCCCTTTGCCCTGTTTGGGATAGAATGTTCCATGGAAACGCCCTCTGTGTGTCCCCTTCTCTTACTGTGCCCCTGGGCATGGCCTTCCTAGATGTCAGTCAACCTGCTAGACTCAGCCCCCTCCAACCGACCCCTGGCTTCATTTGAATGGTTTCTCCTCAATAAAAGGGGTCAGCGCGCGCGCGCG